TTCCATGGGATGATCTGTCCAGCACTCGTCATAGCTCTGGTAAGGAGCACATCACGATGATCTTCAGCTTGGACAACTACATATCTAAGAGTGCCAGGGATTCGACAGAGGGTGCCTCCATGATGTTTTTAATTATTTTTATTTTGTCAAAAGTGTGTGCTGGTAATAACAAGGTTGTGCACTGCACATATCATCAAAATTAAGATTTCCGTTCTGGTTGCTGTTGCCAATTCCGTCTTTCCCAATAGTCCCAGGCCACAGATTGAAATCTCTCCCAACTCTTGCATTAGAATCACCCAGGAGCATAATTTGTTTTATGTGTGAGACCAAGGCACAGTTTTTGCAGTAAGGCTTCGTTCCGATGGCATAAATTTCATGATGACCGGTAGGTTTCTTATCTGCTGCAGCCTCCATCCGCCTTCACAGCGTTGTAACATGCCACTTGTTATCTTCTGTCTGTCCTGCCATTGAGAACTTCTTGGAGCGTTCTTTGTCTAGCTCCTTCCCTTGGACCTTACTGCCTGGGTGACCCTGCAGGGATTACGAGACTCCCGATGGCTTTGCTCAAAAGGGTCATAGGAACATGACAAGCCCAACTCACAATGACAAGGTCATGATCCAGCAAGTGAGTGTAGGGCTATAACCTTTGATAGAATAAGGGTAACTCAACACTGTTTGTTGCATTATATTCTGCATTAGATTATCATTCTAATGATATATATATATTTATGGTATTAATATAAAAAGTACTGATGTTATGAGCCTGAGATACAGACATTACTTTCCAAAATGTTTCCACAATATTGGCCACTAGTCTATGATGATTACCCTTTCCCCTCCATGTAGTTCTGGTGTTTATGAGACATGGCGGCAGATCTGATATCTCAAACTGACTTATGCAGTGTGTGATAGCATGTTTCTTCTTAACATGGTAGGCTTATACCAGTGTTCAGTTGTTTTAAAAAGTTTGCAAGGCAGCATAAAAAGTAACATCCCCATTCACTTTGTTAAGGCTTTCTGCTCATTTACCATGGTGAGCGAAGGATTTCTTATTTAATATTTGACTTCAATCAAAGCCAAGTGGTAATTCATTCAGATTAGAGGTGATTTTTATTATAAGTTTTTGGTTGCGTGGCAAGATCCTCAAGCAGACCCCCCGTTAAGGTAAATAAATTCACACGGACACGGATATTTTGTTTAAGGTTTTTGGGCAAAAATTTGGCCACAACTTTATTGATTACAGGAATGAGAGCAGTATTGGCTTAGGCATTGGCAAGACTATATCTGACTCCTGCCCCCTTTGCAGGAAGTCTGTAAGGGTAAACCACCCAAAGGGAAATTGCTTCGGGGGAACCCACCTGCATCTCCCCTGGTGTTCCCAGTGGCCTGGCACGACCCTGATCCTTCAAGTGGACTTCGGACAGGAACCAGGCCCCGGATTCCTTTAATGGAATACCCTTGACACTGGAGGGGCAGGCTATGACCGACCTCCCCTCCCCCATTCACCATAAGCCAATGCCTAACCGCCAAACCTTACAAAGTTATGATGATTGCTAAGAGGTGGGCAAAGACCAAATTTGCCAAATGGAAAAATTCCTACCTGGCTCCTGACTCAAGCCGGGCAACCAAAGTCCAAAACAAGGCCAAATGATCTAAATTAAAGGGAGGGCAGGTGGGTATTCGGCAGCGCGAAGCAGGAGCCTGGCACAGGTCATGCTGCCACTTTTATGATTTCCCCCACTATCACCCTTTGACATGATTGGGCAATAGCCCTGGGCAGTTGTGGTACCACAATGGCATGTGTGCAATAGCTCCACCCACGCCAGGGTGGGGGGGAACCTGGTTGAGACCCTGCCCGCAACCAGGACCATCTAGTAAGATGATCCCATTAACCAGACTTTTCTCTTCCTCCTCCTCCATAGAACAGAACTAGTAGCAATCAGGGCCAGACCAGCCGTGAGGTAAATAGAAACAGCTGCCTTGGGCCAGGGAATTCTGCAGCTGCCATTGTACAGCTGCCATGGCTGCCACACTGGTGCCTAGTGAGATCCCCTAAGATCTTGTGAGCTCACAGAATTTATCACCCGAAGACACCACCACTGTGCACCCCAGGAGGCCAGGCATTGGTGGGGGTGAGGTGGGGTGGGGTGGAGGCACCTCCCTGTGAGATGTGGCGTCATGTGCATGTATCTGGACATGGATGATTGTATTTAGCAGCACTGAAAGCCATGCTAGGAGTTAAATGTTCAAGGAAGCAAAACACCCAGGTTCGTGTTTCAATATATCCACACATTTTGGTGAAGGTGAACTGTTACGCACTATGTCACTCTCCATACAGGCCAGTGACACAACTCTACCAGCATATCCTGGCTTTGACATTTGCTGTAAAAGAGATAAATGAAGACCCCCAAATCTTGCCCAATATCTCTCTGGGTTTCCACATCTATAACAGCCATTTCAGTCCAAGCTGGACCTACCAAGCTTCCATGGAACTTCTCTCTAGCCAAGAAAGACTCCTCCCCAACTACAAGTGTGATGTTCAGGAGACTCCAAAGGCGGTCATTGGGGGGCCAAACTCTGATTTATGTCTCCACATGTCAACCATCCTGTCTATGTACAAGATGCCAAGAGTAAGAGGTCTGCATGGAACATGGATCATAATGAAAGACGTTTACAGTTGCCTTTGACTAACTCTCATTGGGTTGCATGCTGGTAATTGAATGTTTTTGTGATTCACCATCTTGCGGAACAAAATATCAAGGGAATGGCAAATAGTGGGCATAGGTTGGTGTTTATCAAGCAAAAATATGTGTCTGCTTCTGTTCTACACCTCCTTAAAAACTCAGGTGGAAGAATTCCTCATTGGACACTTTGCTCCTGTGCAGGACTGTAACAAAATATCTGCTGCCTGTGGTAGCACAACTGTATGTTTGCTATGCCTGCTGAAAAATCACATATATTTCCCAAGATAACTTTAACATTCCAAATCAACAGAAATAAATAATGTTTGAATCCTTTTGTAGCAGACCCCCCTCTGTAAAACTCTATAACCACCATGGGTTATCTAGCATGTGTGATCTATCTAGCAGGCATAAGTTGAACAAATAATAAAGATTTATTTTGCAGAATAAAGTTGGTAAGACAAAAGATGCATCAGGAGATAAAGTTCTTTCAGGAAACAGTTAACTTATTAATATTCAATTTAATGTATGTTACGGGCTTCAAAAGAAGGTAGTGAACATACAGCTTATTTAAAATGGCAGTTCCTTATTTTCAGTTTGATGTTACAATTGGTAAACAATCAGCTCATTTCCATTTTTCATTACTTCAGTTTCTTAAACCTAATTGCATAGATGTTACAGTTTCAGACTTTGGTTCTTATACAAGGTAGTGCTTTCTGTCCGTTTCCCCACCTTCTATCCCTCCCACTCCTGAGGTTCTCCAAACAGCACAACAGCCCCAGGGGATCACTCCAGCCCTCTTAATGGGTTTGGGTGTCTTCTCTTTCTGGGAGATCTCTCCCCTCCTGACAGGAAGGAGACCCAAGCAGACGGGATCCTGCAGAGGATTGAGGGGACCCATGTGCAGTGCAGCACAACATCATGACTTCATGTGCGTGATGTCACATGACACCCTGACGTCATGCGTGTGATGCCATGAGGAACTGAATGCCCCTTGAATATTGAGGGGGCTCAGCCCCCTCAAAAAATACACTAGCGTGGACGAAACCTCCTCGGCCTCTAGGAGTGGTGTGAATGATGGAAATCACAACATTATGGTAATGGGAAGGATGCCTAATATTGCAGAAACAGATGATGCACCAATACAAACCAAATCAAAAGATTGGAATTAGAACAGTCCAGATGGATTTCATATCATTTCCCATGCAAAGGTGGTGGGAAATAGCTTTCCTCCATAGTTCTCTATCCTTTGCAGTTAACTCAAGGAATCGTTATTAGGAATTTATTCCGATGAGAAAGCTTTATCAGGGTTTTCTGTGAACAAGCATTTATTTACCTGTTCTTTCCTTTATCCTCCTTTAGATATGAAGGGCAGCAAATTCTGCCAAAAACAACTGCATAATTGTTCTATTTGATGTAGAGACATTAATATCCAAGTATTTCCCCAAAATGCTAAATTAACAGAAATAACCAAAAAGCTGAATCCCCCTGGTTAATATATACCAATTAAATAGAGATTGAAATCTGGTTTTGAGTCAAATTGGTGTTTTGATATCAGCATTTGTTATCATCTTTCCTCCCTTGATTTTATTAATGACCCTTTTCAGCTCATCTATGGCTCTTCTCCTGTGATGACTAATGACATTCAAGCCCTTTTCACCCACTGGATATTCCCAGATGGGACTCAGCAATATGAGGGGATCCTCCAGTTACTGCTGCATTTTCGTTGGGTGTGGATTGGTGTGCTTTTTCAACTCCATGATGACACTGGAGAGAGAGTTGTACAAAATGTTCTCCCCATGTTTGCCCAGAAGGGTATCTGCGTTGATTTTATAGAAAGTTTCCCTAAGGTTACCTCTTCTGGTGAGTTTGATGAAATGGTGGAAGAAGGTTCAAAAACATTGAACATTATTGTGGGAAGCACTGCTAATGCTGTGGTTGTACATGGTGAAATTCATACAATTATGGGAATGAGAACACTACCCAGGCTTGCAGAAATGAATGATGTGCCAATACAAGGAAATACAAAAGTCTGGATTATGACTGCCCAGATGGACTTCACTTCATTTCCCTTTCAAAGAGGTTGGGACATCACATTCCTCCATGGGGCTCTATCCTTTGCAGTTCACTCTAAGGATCTTCCAGGATTCCAGAAATTTATTCAGATGAGAAAGCCTACCTTGGAAAAAGAAGATGGCTTTCTCAGGGTTTTCTGGGAAGAGGCATTTAATTGTGGTTTTCCCGACCCTTCTTCAGAGAAGAAAGATGGCAAATTCTGCACTGGGGAGGAGAATATTAAGAGCCTTCCTGGGTCTGTTTTTGAAATGAGCATGACAGCCCACAGCTACAGCATTTACAATGCAATCTATATTTTGGCACATGCTTTGCACATCATGCAATCCACCAAATTAAATTGCAGAGCAATGGCAGGTGGAACAAGTTGGAAACTTACAGATCAACAGCCCTGGCAGGTAATGTTGTCTTCCAGTTAATACAGATGTCTGTAATCCACTCTGGACCTCAGTCAAAGGGGGCATTTCTCTTGAATACCTCTTCAGTAGGGGAAACTCATTGCATGTCAAGGCCCTGAACCCTCCCCAGTTGTTGAATAATAAAACACATGGACACCAGTATTGTAGATTAATGGGCGAATTAAGGCCACAACAAAGGCCTGAAACCAAGAAGGTGATCCCCAGCCACGCGGCCGCTTCAATGCAGCAAGTCACGTCCCCCCAGCTGACTGGATTGGTTGGCGGGTCTGACATGGCCAGGACTATGATGTGGGGACACTGGCTTTCCTCTTTCCTCTCGGGGAGGAAATGACTATCCACTAATGGTTAGGATAACATAATGGATGAAATTCTGCCATCACTTTAAAGTGGGTTCACTTGTCCTTGGAATAGCAAAATATGGCTATAGATGGCTAGGTACACAATATCATGCTATCACTATTTGTACAAAGGCAGCCCTGTATCCCTGGAAAGTGATGAGCAGCTTATCTACACAGTTTATCCTCTTATCTGAAGGAACGTCTTGTCTAAAATTTGTGGTCTAAGTTCTATGAAATTTAGGCCAAGACTTAAAAGAACCACATCTTACCTTCACAATAAACATTACTACAATTGAAATTATCTTCCAATGAACATTTAAATGAATATTGTGTTCCACAATGTTGCTCTTTTGTATATGCTCATGAGCAGGGCTTTTTTCAGCCAGAACTCCCTGGAACTCAGTTCTCTCCCCTCTCAGGGGGGCGCCATTGCCATTCTAAGTGAACGAGGGAGGTGTTTGTGGTGAGTTCCAGCACCTCTTTTTCTAAAAAACAGCACTGCTCATTAATTCCTTTTTCCTTTTTAGCTCCATCCATTTTTGAAGAAGAGACTCATTAAAAACAGAGAAAGAAAAACACTAAGATACAACTTTTAAATGGACCACAAACTATAGCTCTTAAATGTTAAAGATAAGCACTCTATTTGTACGAATATTACTATATTTAATTATTTTTGGCATCTTCATTAACTTCCCTTTTCCTCTTCAAACTTAGGTCCACCACTTTCTGGGAAGAGTTTCATTTAATAATAGTGTTGGGGAGGAAGTTTCCTTTGACCAAAATGGGAAATTAGTAGCTGGATTGGATGTAATAAATTGGGTCACATTCCCCAATCAGTCCTTTCTGAGAGTCAAAGTTGGAACAATGGACCCACAAGCTCCCCCAGAAAAGAGGTTAACCATTCATGAGGATGGTATCATGTGGCCCAACTGGTTCAACCAGGTAAGAATTTATTCAAGGTTTTCTCTAGTTTTTTGCTCAGTGTCCCAAAACTGCCTCATTGCAACACATTGAATCATCAATTATCAGAATCAGACTAGATCTGTGAAGGAAATATCAGGCTGTAGCACTGATAAAAGGCAAGCTGTCTTGTTTCTATATCTATTTGCAGAAGTGTCTCAGCTATAAAGAAAGTGTCATAAGTGAATGAAATTTGAAGAAGCCTAGTATGTCTTTTAGTATATTAGTATATACATTATTATTGTTCCTTCCTTCCTTCTCAGGATTCTGCACAGGGCCCCAACCCATTCTGGGGCTGGGTCAGGGAACACCTGGGCCAAAATCAACCTCCTTCAGACAATATGGCCGAAAGTAGAAAAAATTAATTTGGCTTGGAACTGGTGAAGAAGACCCATGCAACCATCAGGATTGAACTCTCTACTCATTAACGGGCTCATTCCTGCTCAGTTTGACTGCACTCATGTGTCCCCCTGCTTGGAACAGGCACACATATCCAAAGTGCAGTGTGGGGCTATTTGAAAGCTCTGTTGCAAAGAGCTCTCTGTGCTGCTCTTTGCAGATGCTGCCTGCCTTTCCTTCAGAATCAGCCCAATTCAACCTGGGATTTGGCCAAATCTGTTCCACAGCCGTAATTTGTACCCCACAATTACTCCAGGAACAGTCAATTCATTATTGAAAGCTGCTCATTGGTTTGCAGCATTATGGTAAACATACGAAACACATTCCCTTGCATTGGCTGCTGAGTTAAATGATTAACAGTGAATGTTCACAGAAACCGCAGGTACAAACTATTATTTTTAGCACCTGGCTCTGCAAAAGTAAATTTTAAGGACACATGCAGGGGATGAAGAAGGTAACTCTGCAAGCAAACAGCACTGCAATAATCCATCAAAATCACACTTCTTTGAAGTCTCTCAGCCCCACTCACCTCACAGAGTGTTTGTTGTGGGGGAGGAAAGGAAAGGAGAATGTTAGCCGCTTTGAGACTCCTTAAAGGGAGTGAAAGGCGGGATATCAAATACAAAATCTTCTTCTTCTTCTTCTTCTTCTTCTTCTTCTTCTTCTTCTTCTTCTTCTTCTTCTTCTTCTTCTTCTTCTGATCTATTGATCATAAAAGGCCTTCTTAGAGTATGACTAACAATGACTACAGTATTTTTGGTACAGCCCCAATCTTGTCTGATGGAGGGAAAGATGGAAACTCAGTTACTAAGAAAGAATATATTCTGTTCCACCTGATGTGGAAGCTACACCACATACACCAAACTCTAGTCCTCCTTTGCAACATTAGCACAGGAGGAATGGCTGTTCATAGAATCATAGAATCATAGAGTTGGAAGAGACCACAAGGGCCATCGAGTCCAACCCCCTGCCAAGCAGGAAACACCATCAGAGCACTCCTGACATATGGTTGTCAAGCCTCTGCTTAAAGACCTCCAAAGAAGGAGACTCCACCACACTCCTTGGCAGCAAATTCCACTGTCGAACAGCTCTTACTGTCAGGAAGTTCTTCCTAATGTTTAGGTGGAATCTTCTTTCTTGTAGTTTGGATCCATTGCTCCGTGTCCGCTTCCCTGGAGCAGCAGTAAACAACCTTTCTCCCTCCTCTATGTGACATCCTTTTATATATTTGAACATGGCTATCATATCACCCCTTAACCTCCTCTTCTCCAGGCTAAACATGCCCAGCTCCCTTAGCCGTTCCTCATAAGGCATCGTTTCCAGGCCTTTGACCATTTTGGTTGCCCTCCTCTGGACACGTTCCAGTTTGTCAGTGTCCTTCTTGAACTGTGGTGCCCAGAACTGGACACAGTACTCCAGGTGAGGTCTGACCAGAGCAGAATACAGTGGCACTATTACTTCCCTTGTTCGGTTAGCTGTCTGTGAGGACCCATAATTTTAGGCACCAGTGGTACACCTGCAGATAAGAGATTAATTTACATACAGTATATGTCTTTCAGGATATGAAAGTTCTGCACAAAATTAAACACTTTTTAGATGCAATATTCTTAAAGCTGATTGAATATTGTTCCTGGCTTTCGGCTATGATAGGTCAGTGAGATGCAAACTTCCAAACGATTTCCTTCTTTCATTTATGAACAGGCACAACCCACTTCTCTGTGTAATGAGAATTGTCATGTAGGTTATAGAAAGAACAAGAAGGAAGGAAAGCCATTCTGCTGCTATGATTGCCTTCCGTGTCCAGAAGGGAAGATCTCAAGCAAGGAGGGTAAGGAATGCATCACACGCTTTAATTTTACCTGTGCATCAGAAGCTCCTTTCTCTAGTGGGAAAAAAGTATAGAAGTAGCCAATATATATTCCGGCATCTCTTATATGCATTTCGGGACAGAAGACCTTTTTGTTTCACTGAGATTTCTTTATTTCTTTTTCTTTTTCAGACATGGACGACTGTTTAGAATGCCCTGGAGATCAATATGCAAACAATGAACAGGATGGCTGCCTCCCCAAAGTCAAAACATTCTTGTCTTATGGAGAACCGTTGGGGATCAGTTTGGCCACGTTTGCCCTCTGCTTTTCCTTTATCACAGCTTTGGTGCTTCAAATATTCACAAAGCACAGAGATACTCCCATAGTTAAAGCCAACAACCGCAACCTTACTTATATTCTCCTCCTTTTCCTCCTGCTCTCCTTCCTTTGTGCTCTGCTCTTCATTGGCCAGCCTGAGGAAGTGACCTGCCTCCTTCGACAAACTGCTTTTGGCATGATCTTCTCAGTGGCAATTTCTTGCATATTGGCCAAAACTGCCATTGTGGTTCTAGCTTTCATGGCCACCAAGCCAGGGTCCCGAATGAGGAAGTGGGTAGGGAAGCCACTGGGCACCCCAATTGTTCTTTCCTGCTCCCTTATGCAAGTGACAATTTGTACAGTGTGGCTGGCAACCTCTCCCCCATTCCCAGATGTTGACATGCACTCAATGACTGAAGAAATAATACTAGAATGTAATGAAGGTTCCACTATCATGTTTTATTGTGTCCTGGGATTCATGGGTTTGCTGGCCATAGTCAGCTTCACGGTGGCTTTCCTAGCTAGAAAGTTGCCTGACAGTTTCAATGAAGCCAAATTCATCACCTTCAGCATGTTGGTCTTTTGCAGTGTGTGGCTCTCCTTTGTTCCAACCTACTTGAGCACCAAGGGCAAATACATGGTGGCTGTGGAGATCTTCTCCATCTTGGCCTCCAGTTGTGGGTTACTGGGCTGCATCTTTATCCCCAAATGCTATATTATTTTACTGAGGCCTGAGCTGAACAGCAGGGAGCAGCTAATAAGAAGACAGTTTTAAATAATCCAGAAGTCTGAATCATGCTTGTAATTCTAGGTGTCTGTTATTGCTGTTTTATTTACCTGTGTGTAATTAGAAATCTGGGATACTCATGTCCCTAGACATTAAAGAATCAACAAGTAAAGAAATAATTAAAGAATTAACAAGTAAACAATAAAAAAGATTTGGAGCAACCTCAAAGAGCTCCTTTGGGAGAAATTGTGAGGACACAATTATGGCAGTGGTGAATTGATTACTGATTCTGTGGCAATGCTTTTGAGCACAACTGGCCAGGACATGACCCTGTCTGCAAGAAAAGGGGTTCGGTCAGTCAACCAGCTACTAATCTACCTAACAGTTCCCTCATTCAACCCACATTTTTCCAGTTTCTTCACAAGCTTTACTGAAATCAAGGTACACTATTGCCACAGCAGAACATTAACCATTTCTGGCTTTTGTAAGGAAATGTAACACTCTGCAACCGGAGACATTTTGTAAGGAAATGTAACACGCCTGCAACTGGAATCTGTATTATTTTAACTATTTCCTCTCCCTCCCCTTAATGGGTGTACAAAGTAGCATCTTTGGGGTCTAAAATGCTGAAAATCATGTCTTCATTGGTGACACATGTACAGCTAGGGGAAATGTGATTGAGGAAGAGTTTTGGGAAAATAGGAAGCTCCCTTCAGGGCACCAGTTTGCAGCTGGACTGCTTGCTTGCCTGGGGCACTCACAATTACAAGAGAAGTACTCAATAACAAATATGCATCATTATTTTGATCTTACTATAAGTCACAGAGCTCAATGCTCTAAGGCAATAACTTTCAAACTGGTAATTATCTCAAATTGCTGGGTTTCATCATCCATCTTGCCAAACCCCATGTACATTTTATCAGGCCATGAACACAATCAATATCAGAGTGTGAAAGTGCATATAAAATAAATCCTGTGTCATTCAGAGCCCACATGAGAAATTTTGAAGATGCAGCTTTTCATGAATCAGATCATTGGCAATTTCCCTTTATCAAAATAATCCAGAGTCATTCAATGAGAGTTCCTGTAATGCAGTTTATGGTAGATGAGATAGAAATCTGACTTTTGGCATCCCTGTTGGCCCCAAGATGGTTGGAACATTTCTGCTGCAGATTCTTCTCTTCCTGTGGCTACAGTTGCCTCCAACTGAGAGCAAGGAACACTCTGCTAGATGCACCATGATGGAGCCTTTCCAGCTTCCATACCAGAATTATCAGAGAGGGGACCTAATCATTGGAGGAATCGTTACCTATTTTGGCTTTTTATTTGAAGAAATGGATTTCCAAGAGCACCCAAACACAAAGCTTATAGATGAACTTCTGTAAGGAAAAACCCTCTATCCTTCATAGTGTACACTTGGTGAGCTCATGTTAGCTACAATTACACCAAACTTACGTATGCATGCTCAGAACATGTTTCACTGTGACTTTTATCAAGGAGGGATGTTAAACATACATTTTCTTCTTTTTACATTGTGATCTGGTCATCTTCTTCTTTGTTGCTTTATTCCACTTCTTGGGGTTTCTATCTTCTGCCTGTTCTGCTTTCTCATCACCTGATCCCATGGCTCTCACCGCTTTCTCCCAACTTCATCCTCATCCTCCCTCTGTGTTTCCTTTCACACCATTAACGCCCGGTTTTCCTTTGCAGCAAAGCTTGATTTTCATAGTCACAATCACTCTCTTTTAATCTGACAGTCACAGATGAATGTGACATATAAATAACATAGAATCTGGATTATATTCTCTGCTATACAATGTAAACCATATTGGGTAAAAAACTGATGTAAACCATATTGGGTATCAAAACTGAGTTATATGCAGAGTATTAATAAAACTAATTTAGTCTGATCAATTAATCCTAATTGGCCTTCTCTAAGTATGACTAACATTGGCTACAGTATTTTTTGTACAGCCACAATTTTCTTTGAAGGAGGGATGGATGGTGACTCAGTTACTGTGAAAGAATAAATCCTATTCCATCTGATGTGCTCTGGTCTCTACTCCTCACCTACACCAAGCACTGATTATCTGAGAGGCACAAGTCAGAATTTCTGACTTGGGAACTTCTATTCCAGTAACTGTCCATTGGTTGCTGAAAGGAAATAAAGGGGTAAGAGAAAGATGTGGCAACCAGACACCCCCTCCCAGCAGTAGCAAAATAGCTGTTTGCTTTAGCCACCTGTGAGGACCCACAATTTTAGGCACCAGTGGTACAGCTGCAAATAACAGATTTATTTACATATGTGTGTTTCAGGATATGAATGCTCTGCACAAAATTAAATGCTTTTTAGATGCAATATTCTTAAAGCTGACTGAATAGTGTCCATGGGGTCAACTATCAACTGTTGACACATAAAATGGATATATAGTTTGTTTGTTAGCTTATTTGTTTTATTTAATCTTTTGGAATTTGCCAGAGAGAGCCAGAAAGTTACCAATGTGCTTAAGAGGGAGAGGAGGAGAATACCTCTGACACAAAGTATAACTCTTTTATTAGTGACACACTGAAGTACTACCAGAATATCCTCTCCCTGGTGTTTGCTGTGAAAGAAATAAACGAGAATCCTAATATCGTACTGAATATGACCTTTGGGTTCCATGTCACTGATAGCTACTTAAATGCAAGGTTGACTTATCAGAACACCCTGAAACTTCTGTCCATCACAGAAAGGATTGTCCCCAACTTCAAATGTGAGAAGAAGAAAAATAAGATGGCTTTTATTGGGGGACTTGACTCTGACATCTCTCTCTACATGGCTACTGTCTTAAGCATCTACAAGATTCCACAGGTATAGTAAGTGTGGGGGCTGTGAAGCTTTTCTGCTTCTGATTCAATAATTATCTTCTGGGTTCTCAATACTGTCTTTTGCTTTGGTTCATTTTTATGATAAAATGAAATAAAAAAAACTGATACAAAAGCACCTGGGGGAGGTATGCAGTAGTGGTGGGAGCGGAGGGGCTTTGGTGCTTGCCTGACTCTGTCTCCCATGTGTCACTGGGAAGCAGCAGAGAGGTTGGAACTGGGCAAATGCGGCAGCAGGAGTCTTCCTCCTGCTCCCAGGAAGCTGCACAAGGCCAGCTGCAAGAGGTCAGAGAAACCCTGCTCCTCCTCCCCACCAACAACTGCTAGAGATATGCGTAATGTTCTTGTGAAATCAACATGCATAAATGGAGTCGAGAAATTCTCATGGGTTTTTTCTTCAAGCAGATACTTGGAATCAACCATAACCGTTTGCTCTAACTCTCCAATTCTTGTGGGATTGATTTCTTCCTCCAGATTGCTTACTGCGTATTAGCTCCAGTGAGAAGCCCAGAGTTGCAGCCCCAGACATTCTACCGAACGGTGCCCAATGAGAAATATCAATATGCAGGGATTGTCAGGCTACTTCTACATTTCCAGTGGACATGGGTAGGAATTGTGGCATCCGATGATGAAAATGGAGAGACCTTTATGCAAACCTTAGTGCCAATGCTTTCCCAGCATGGAGTCTGTACAGCTTTCAGTGAAAAACTACCAGCCATATCTCAGGGTATAGATAATTTCAGTTCCCTGGAACTCATTCGGGCCAAGTCCTCTTTCCTGATGGCCTCAGAAGTCAACATATTGGTTATGTTTGCAGAACTTCAGACCATTGCAGTTGTGAAATGGATGCAATATTTTTTTTCATTAGCTGAAGATATTGAAGAGAATTCTATATGCACCGTGTGGGTTTTGACAGCCCAGTGGGCTTTCTCTTCAGAAACAACACAAAGATATTATGATATACAAGTCTTTGATGGTGCCTTGTCTTTTGCAATTCACACAGAGAAACTCCAGGGATTTACAGACTTCCTTCAGACCCTGAACCCCAACTCTCCAAATGGAGATGGGTTCCTCCAGGCTTTTTGGCAACAGGCATTCAACTGTTTATTTTCTGCTTCCAATGGACACAAGGAAGACACAAAGACCTGCACTGGCCATGAGAGTCTGGAGAGCCTTCCTGGGCATATTTTTGAGATGACCATGACTGGCCAAAGTTACAGTATCTATAATGCGGTTTATGCCATTGCACATTCTTTACATCAGATGCACTCATCCAGGCCAAAAAGCAGAATGATGGCAGGCAGAGGTGGGCTCGATCCTCCAAAACCGCAACCTTGGCAGGTAAGATTTCCTATTCAGAGTAAACCTTTGCTGGGGGCTAATCTAATGAGCGATGACACACAGTCCATAGAATGAATACACACAAACACAGAGACATTGATATATATACACACACAACTGCTTAAGGCTTTTACCTTTCCTCTACAACTATTCCCACATTCTTTTCAATGCTTAACTGTTTTCTCTTTCCTTCAAGCTGAAGGAGCCACAATCAAGATAGGACCTGTACTTCCCTTCCATTTGCTGGAGTAGTTGAAAGAGTTATGGCACTCTGTACCCTTTCCCTGCTTCTCTAGGAACATATGCAGTCAAGACATGTGGATGCATCTCTTGGTGGGAAAAGTAAATAAATAAGCAAACAAAAAATTTAGAGCAGAGAAAACCCACTAAGAGCTTCTCTCCATTTCTTTGTCCCCTTCTCCCTGCACTCCCACCTTGCAGGAGGGGCAGTTCCAGGACTTCCTGACATGGCACCATTTTGCCTTTGCACACGGACCCCAATCCTCACGCAAGTGGAAGGCCAGCTATACTTGCTAGAAATACTTAGGTGCTCCAAATGTTGTAGACTGCACAGTTTTTGACTACTTTGCATTGTGTGGAATATATTGATGGATACTTCTTGTTTCCATAAAAGCTCTCCTTTTTAAAAACTTTGCCTTTGTTTTCTTCTGCCTAGCTGCACTCGTTCTTGAGGAGTATCTCCTTTAACAACAGTGCTGGTGACTTAGTGTCCTTTGATGAGAATCGAGAATTAGCAGGTGGATTTGATATTATTAACTGGGTTACTTTTCCAAACCAAACCTTCTCCCGAGTGAAAGTAGGAAAGATAGTTCCACAAGATT